CGCCAACAGACGGCTTTCCCGACTTCGCCCAGCTCCCATCCTCGTCCGATTTCCTTCCTTTGCCTGTCGGTCGCCGGGCCCGCGCTGGGACAGTGCCGTCTCGGTTTTCGCCAGGTGGTGCGGGCAATGGCCTCCTCAATCTCTCGGCGGTTGGTACTGCTGCTCCCAAAACGTCCCGTCCGACACCTTCCCAAACTCCCTATAAATCACCCTCTCCAGGCTTGGAGCCAGTGGATGGCGGAAATGGCCAATCGTCGTCTTCTGCACTCCTGTCACGTCTTCGTGCCGGCTCCATGCCACAGCGTGTGCCTTTCGGGCAGACACCGGCGGCTACTTCTCCGTTTGGACCCTCGATCTTTAGCAGCTGGAACCCGACAACCCGTGAGCGCGGGTCTACCCTTGCAAGCATTGCGAGTCTCGGCTCCAATGGCCCTAGCTCGCCCGCCCAGTCGGCATTTTCTCGCGAGGGTCCGGGGGAGAACGACGTCCATATGCGGACATTGGACTACCTGGGCCTGGTCGAGACACCTCAACCACCCCGCGCAACGCTCGCCACCCCGTACATGCCGAACATCGCAGACTTATCTCGGTCCAGCCGATTCCGTTCATACTCCGTTAACAACAAGGACAAGTACGCCGATGACGAAGACGAGGACGATTTCGATGCCAACATAGCTGGGTTTGGGACAGACTATGCGGCCGTGCTGCAAGGACAAATCGATGCAACAAACGCTGCAATCCATAGCCATAACCTGGCAGTGCAGGCCTTTGCAAACCAGGCTGCTAGCCGCCCTCGCGCGAGAACCGCAGGCGTCTTGGACGCTCCTGGGGCACGCGTGCTGCGCGGCTATTTCCCTACACAATCCCGCTTAGACAGCAGCTTAACCGCCTCGGACATCCAATTGCCAGAAGAGAAAGATTTTGACAATGACATGACCACTGCTATGGCAGGTATGGGACTTTCCAACAGCGGCAACAACAACAGCGCGGGTGCTGCCAACAACACAGGTGGCTTCCTGTCACCCGATGAGCCAGGCCTCGAGGGCCCGACGAGTGCCTTGTGGCTAGGAAGCATTCCGACCTCGACCACCACGTCCACCCTGACCGAGATGTTCAAGTCGTACGGCCCTATCTTGTCCGCACGAGTTTTGACTCTGAAGAATTGCGGCTTTGTCAATTTTGAACGCGTCGATAGCGCTGTCGCTGCCAAGGCAAGCCTGAACGGGAAAGAGATCTTCCCTGGGGCTGGGCCTGTGCGAATTAACTTTGCAAAACCACCGTCGTCTTCCAACACCCCTGGTCATGACGGCGTCTATCCTTCTCCAAGCCCTGATCCGTTTGCTGCCGACAACAAGCTGTCTGGTTCGCTGTCTGCTGCACCGGGCTCCACAGCTGGCTCATCCACGCCTGGAGTTTTTCCTGCGGCAAGTGGACCAGCTGGCGCTGAGGGTTCTTCTCCCGGCACTGGAGGATCGACCGTCATTCCGCCTGCGGTGTCATCGCCGGCCGCACTCGGCAAGATTTCGAACGATGTCATGAGAATTGTTGGCCAATTCGGTGCCTCTGACGAGGATACCTACCGCATTTCTTCCATCGTGCAGGAAGCTGTTCAGTTCACCACCTTTATTGACGAAATTCCGCCTGTCCCGGAACCTTCCAGTACCCGTGTCTACGATGCTCCCAAGCTGCGCGACATCCGGAAACGCATCGACAACCAAAGCTATTCCCAGGCAGAGATCGAGCGCATTGCTGTTGAGATGCTTCCCGAGATCGCAGAGCTTTCATCCGATTACCTTGGCAACACAGTTGTGCAGAAGCTGTTTGAGCACTGCTCAGACGACCTTCGCGATGATATGCTGGCGGAAATTGCTCCTCACATAGCAGAGATTGGTGTTCACAAAAACGGTACGTGGGCCGCACAAAAAATTATTGATGTCTGCAAGACGCCCCGCCAAATGGCTCTGATTTCCGAAAACGTGCGTCCCTACACTGTGCCGCTTTTCCTGGACCAGTACGGCAATTATGTTCTCCAAGGCTGCCTCAAGTTCGGTGCACCGTACACCGACTTCATTTTCGAGACGATGATCAGTCGTCTCTGGGAAATCTCCCAAGGCCGTTTCGGCGCACGTGCTATGCGCGCGTGCCTCGAAAGCCACCATGCCACTAAGGATCAGCAACGGATGCTTGCTGCGGTCATTGCCCTAAACAGCGTCCAATTGGCTACCAATGCCAATGGTGCGTTGTTGTTGACGTGGTTCCTTGACACGTGCACCTTCCCCCAACGGCGCACAGTGCTCGCACCTCAGCTTGTCCCCTACCTTGTCCACCTGTGCACCCACAAGGTCGCTTATCTCACGGTGCTCAAGGTTGTGAACCAGAAAACGGAGCCCGAAGCCCGGGATACCATTCTCCAGACCCTCTTCTCTTCGTCCAACGACTCCGTCCTCGAGGCCATCCTCAGCGACAATGCTTGCGGTTCCACATTGATATACAAGGTGATCACGACGCCCTTCTTTGAGGAGTCGTTCCGTGGCCAAATAGTAGAAAGTGTCAAGAATGTCCTCGTTCGCATTAAGGCGCAACCTTCCCAGGGCTACAAGCGCTTGATGGACGAGGTTGGGCTATCTACCAGAAACAGTGGCGGCAGTGGCAGCAGTGGCGGCAACGGTGATCATAGGGGATCCCGCGACCGCGACCACAGCTCCAACAACGAGAAGCAACGGCCCTCATCTAGACAAGCCAATGGCCACCAGCACCAAAACCACCACGGCCAACAGGGCAGCCACCAGCACCAACAACAGCAGCAGTCTCATTCCCACTCGCACCACCAACACCAGTCGCAGCAGCCGGCGTCCCACCAGCAGCAACGCACGCCTCCGCACACGAACCAGGCCGCTTTCAATAGCGGCGGTGCCGGTCCGTACTTTAACGCCTCACCCAATCCCTCTGGCTTTGACGCAGGCTACGGCATGCCGCGTGGTGACAACGGCCCCGTTGCTGATGCGGGTATGCAACCGCCCCCCTTTGGACCGTACAATGGCGGCCCGGCCTCGATGTACGGCATGCAGGGCCAGGCTGGCCCCCCAATCGGGGTCCAGCCGATTCCGTACCAGCAGGGCATGATGGGCGGTCGTGGAGGCAACCCAAACGTTGGCGGTGGGTTCTACCCTCCCCAGATGCAGGCCGGGTTCGGCAGCTTTAATGGATCAGGCGCTCCACCACCAGTTGACGCGTACCGCGGTACCGGCATGCAAAACGGCAGCGGCGCAGTTCAGCCACCTCCTATTGGCGGCTTGGCTGGCCAAGCACCCTATGTGCTTCCTGGGTACAATATGGGAACGCCCTATGGATACGGTGGCCCACCACCGCCATTTGTGCCTGATCAGATGGGCGGCGCAGTTGGCAATGGCAGACGCGGACGTCCGGGACGCAACCCGAACCGCGACATCAGCCCGCGCCAGTTCCACTGATCAATCACCCTCTCTCAGAGGGCGAGTAGTGCTCTCCATATTCGCGCTTTCTCTTCTTCGATATGATCTTTGATTTCTTGGGCCCCGGTTTGGGATTTTTTGGGTTGTCCTCTTTTCTTTTACCTTGATTATCAATTTTATTAAAGCTATCAATGCTCTTAAAATTTGCCCGGTTTTGCCAAACTAGAGTGAAGCTTTGCCGTTTCTCCATTCTTCTTTCGATTCTGAACCTCATTTTTGTCATTTTATTTTCATTTTGGTATTTTCACTTGTTTAAGAATTCAAAAGGGCCTTGTCTGTACTTTTAAAAGTCAAATCTGACACAACTTGATTCGTGGTCGCATCCTTATCTTTTCTTGGTATTGCCCACCCTTTTTCTATTTTGGTCGGCAATGGGTTGAACAGAAGGTTCGGCAAGGGAACAAACGCTTGGCGTGAAGGAAAGGACACGTTCTGCAGATTTATCTCTCTGTACGCAGGTTTTCCTTTTTTTACCATGCCTCTCCGAGTGCTAGGATTTTTTCAAAAAAGGTACGGGAGAGCAACTGCCTCGTGCACATGGTTTGCTTGGATGATTTAGATATAAAATGGTAGCAAGTACATTGTTTTCGGTGTGTTTCGACACTTGGTTCGCCAGGTCGCGTGACGTAATAACTCGAGCGAAAAATTGGAAGCAAATTCACGCTTCCACATATTTCAAAGATTGTTAGACTGCATCACATGTGTAGTTTATCCACTCTACTGACCGTGTTGTTTGCACATATCTACATAATATCACAGTGGGCACGCCCAAATGAGCCAAGTGTAAGGAAAAGGAAATTCGACGACTGGTACAATGCAAGTAAGAAGGTTGGTATTCCATAGCGCTCTGTTGGAGCAGGGACAGTGACCTAGTAACCAGCAGCGATTATAGGATGTAGGTGGAAAGTAAAAGAGTAAACACAAGCTGGGATAATCGCCCCTCCTCCATCTCCAAAGACTTTGCAATTCACTGCTATGCCAAACTTGTCATGGGAAAAGGACTTCCTATGCCCGCGGGGTAAGTAGATAAGGCGATAGTCGGGACGAACGAGCGGTTTCGATGTCGAGCGAATCCGCTTGCTGCCCTTTGTCCGTCCCCTCTTTCTGCATCCTATCTTGCGAGTCCAGAGGCGTGGACAGAATCCCCCGCCAAATATAAACAAAGGAAAATCAGTATCGAAAGGAAAGGAACAGAACAGTCGGGTAAACGTAGGTCGATGTAGTGTTGTCCCAGCCGTTAGCAAAAAAAAAAAAAAAAAGCAAAATGCCCAAAAAGTATGTGTTAGAAGCCCGCCGCCACCCTTTGCCCATAAAAAGAAAATACAGCATGCTTGCCCAATGACGCCCAAAACCTAATGTTATAAAAAAAAAAGTAGTAGGCAAAATAGATGTATGTGAGTCAGAAAAACGATGGTGTCTAGAGTGATCAAACTTTGTTTCGTTGTTGCTTTTCGATTCTGCTGCTTGCCGTAGCGTACGTCGAGTATTTCGTATTTCCTTTTTCCTTGATCATGTGTCAGCAGCGTCGTTGGTCTCGGTGCGGGCTTCGGTGCTCTCTAGACCACCGTCTACCTGCTCGCTCTGCTTATCAAGGCGGTCGGCCATCTTCTCGTTCTCCTTGTTGTCTTCGTCTCCCACAGCGGTTTCCGAGGATGCTGGCACAGGCGTCGGCGGGGATGACGTGCCATTAGTCGTAGCATCGGCGCCTTGCTGGCCTTCGCCCTGCTTGTCCTCCTTGTCCTCCTTGTCCTCCTTCTCCTTGTCGCCGTCTGCCGTGTTCGAAATTGCAACCGTCTCCAGCGTCTTCTCGAGGATAGGCGCTGGCACGGAATCGCCTGCTGCTGGTGGCCGTTTGGCGTTGTTGTGATCGCATAAACGGAAACCGTCAATATCATTCTCGGAGAGTTCGGCCTTGGCTGACGCCGGCAGTGTACCATTTCCGCTGCCGGGGTCGCTGACGCTGTGCTCAACTGGCCAGACAGCAGAGCCTGGCTCATCTTCTGAGGCATTCAGAGGGGTTGTAATTGTCGGAGGATCCTCGTCTTCGTTCTCGCCATTGTCCGAGACGAGGCTCATGACTTCGTTCGTTTCTGGAACGATCTGTTCAGAACCAGGTTCTGGAAGCCCCTCGCCGGCCACCTGTGCATCTTCCATGGCGACTTCCGGGACGTCCTGAGCCTCGTCTGCGCCGGCTTCCCTCGCCTTCAGGTCGTTAACTTGATGGCTTTCTGGCCTCGTTCTTGGATTGGATAACAAGAGGTCGATCCGCGCTCGCATAGCTTGCAAAGCAGCCAGGTCTTCCTGTGTCAAAGCCGAGCCAATTTCAATGTTGAGCGGGCTACCCTGTGCCATCATAGAAATCACAGAGGCATCTGCTTGAGACAAGAGAGCATTGATCAACTCCCCGCTGCGATCCGTTCGCTCCTCCGAGGTATAGAGAGCAGAGAGGTTTTGCGCAGCCTGGGCTTCGTCTATGCGGTGGCGATCAGTAAGAAGGACACGGTTGGGCTCGGCTGCAGGCTCCGCCTTGGGCACGACCTCAATGTCATCGTTGCGAAATTCGGGGCGCTCTTGATAGCGGTGCATCCGCGCACGCCGCTGTTTGCCAGTGTTTTGCTCTCTTCGGATCTGCTCCAGAAAATCGAGTTCCACGCCGCGTGCCCCAATGCGCTGCATACGGCCAAAGGTCTGCACGTGCTTCCACCCGCTCTGGCTGTCCGACGAATCGTCGTCCGAGGTGAACTCGATGAACCCATTGTTGATCATGCCACGAGAGTACGAAGGCTTGACGACGGGGGCGCCCTTGATTTTGCGGAAGCGGTGCGCAGGTCCAAGCTGGCCGGGGAGTTTGGCCAAGATGTCGTCGGTATGTGCCGGGCAGCGCCAGTTCCGCAAGACGGGTGGGTTCGCCATAGGAGGATCCAAGCAATCAATATGCCACCACAGACCACAATAGGCGCAAGGGATGATGGGCCTGTTGTCTTGGGCAGAGCTGTTGCAGATGTGGCACAATACTGGATTGCCATCGTTGTCACGAATCCTGAAAAAGTCGGGTGCCTCATCATAGTTGCGTTTTCTAAAACTTTGGTGTGAGTCGCATGACAGTATAGAACAGAAAATGCACGTGGGCAAAGACTTGGGACCAATGCCAGGTGCCAGGTGCGGGGATTCAACAAACCTTGTTCGACTGGTACCAGTCACGACGATGTCTTCGTACTCGCCCTCAGTTCCCGTTTTCACACCCTCAAAGTAGTTCCGCGTCTCGCTGGGCAGGCTGAAGGCACTGGAATTTCTCTGTTCCATGATATTGAGCAGTGCACCAAAAACGCCCGTGTAGCGCGTCAGGGACGCCGGATTGCGCCGCGCAATGCACACGTTGCAGAACCACTCATCGGGAAGATCACGATCCTCGTGGACGGGCGGATCAACACAGTTGAAATGGAAGGATCGCGTGCAGCCATCGCAGCAGACCAAGTCGCCACTTCCACTACACGACGCGCAATAATCGTCATTGTCGTCCTGAAGAAGAACAAACATGTGTCAGCAATCCAGATCCTTGCCAGCGTTTTCGTGTTCTCGGCCCAGACTACCGGGCAAGAGTTTTAAAAAGGTCGTAGCAGGTAAAGGGGACGATCAGACACCCGCGAGCAATGCCAGGGGTCGTATGTGTTGTTATAATAGGGACAAAGTAAGTCGCAGGAACGACAAAAAGGTAAAGGGTGGGCCGGCGAGAGCAGGAAAAGGGCAGCGAAGGTTTCTTTCCCGGCAAAAGGAAACAACAAAGTTGTGATTTCCGGTCAAGGTGGCTTGCCTGCCTGGCTCTCCTCCCCTCTGTACTCCCTCTCATGTTTCCCGGGATGAAATCCCAGCCAACCATCGGTAAGTGAATAAAAAACCGGGCGTGAGAGGCAGACGAGGAGTACCGCAGAGCAATGGTTGAGAGAGACCAACAGTGGGGCCCCCAATCAGTGGGCATGAAACAGAAGACGCGTTTGGCCATAAGCCCGACAAAATCAGGCATAGGCTATTTGGGCAGGGTTGGAAATGAACATCGGAAATGGGGCGAGCGTAGTCAGGTAGAGAGGCCAAGGACAAAAAAGGCGAGCAGCGCCAGAAAAACAACGAGAGTGCGATGAAAACATCATGAGAAGTCCACAAAATAGGATGCAAAAACGACCATGAACATGATGCAAGCACTCGCGAGATGCACCTACCTGATTACTAGGTGCGCCATTTGCCACGGGACTGCCGCGTTCTCCGCTGGCGCGAGGCACACCAGCAGAAGTGCCAGTCTTTTTCTTCACAGGCCTAAACGAACCGTTAGCAAAAGAATCCCCATCTGCGACGAGATACATTTGCACCCCTAAATAGCCTTCGTCGTGATTGTCGTAGATTGACAAAGTCGATGATGCGACGCTGTCCAGACCAGAGCGTGAGACGCGTGCTGCGCCCAGTCGGTCGTCCTTCACCCCAGCTCATCGCCTCATCGCCACCTTCATTCGGTGAGACGCTCGAGGCGACAAATGATGAAACAGACGCAGCGCGCACCCCAAAAGTCGTCAAAATGGACGTAGAACGATGCAGAACAAAGTACTTACGATGACTTGACGCGAAGTCCGACGCGCGGCTTCTTGGACTTCGGTCCAGGCGTGCCAGCGCGTGAGTTGCCATTCGACCCATTTACCGCGGCGACTTGTTGCGCCGGCACAGGCGTCTGCAGTCGCGTCGACGGCAAGTCGTCGGAGGGAAAGCTACCGCTCCTCGGAGACAGGTCTTCGTCTACCTCATCGAATGCGCGCTTGCGGGCCGACCGCGTCGTGCGCGTGGCCGTCGTGGAAGCGCGCAGCTGCCGTTGTCGTTGCGGCTGTGGCGTCTCCAGCAGCGGCTGGTGACTCGCCGCGTCGGGAACCGAGCCACGTCTGCTCCGTGACGCTGAAGTCGGCCGGGATGAGGACGCCGCACCCGTAGATAGAAGGGTAGCACTTCCCCGTGTGAAGCTTTCAGGGGCAACACCAATACTGTTGGTGACGCCACGTGCCTCGCGTCGCAGTCGGGCCAGACGCTCCTCTCCAGCCTCATCCGACTCGCTCTTACCAAGAGAATTGGGAGCGGCATCGGTGCTGTTCATGGCTGGTGATGGCAGAGCTGCAGTGCTGTTTCTGCTCTTGCCGTTGCCATTTTGCGCGCGTTTCGCGACAGACACGGGGCGCACAGAAATGTGATCCTCGACAGCAGCGGGCATTTCGTCTTTTGCTGATGCTGAAATGGCCGCTGCAGCCGCCGCAGCAGAAGTCCGTTTCGGTTGCTGATGGTGACTGTGTTGTGAACCTGTGGTGTGAGTTTGAGTTTGGGACTGCGGCTGCGATGATGAAGACAGCGGAGAAATTAACGCGGGTAATGGTGTGGGTGACTTTTTTGCGGACGACCTGTTTCGGGTCGCTATTGGCTGTAGGGCTGTTTCTGGTGCTGGCGCTGGCGTGGGCGTGGGCTCTGGTGGTTGTGTTGTGGTAGAGGCTTTGGGGGCAGACAAGCCAGCTCCAGTGAGAGTCCGATTTTTGGGGGGGCGGCCAGCTCCTCGCCTCCTCCCACCTCTGCCTGATCCTGGTCCTCCACGACGGCGATCCGCACCCCCTCCACCTCGCTTGGATTGAGAAACAGATGATTCCTTAGAATCGTCTTCGTGTGTCCTGCTCTTCGCCATGTCAGATTCGTGAACACCGTCTTTCTTTGTCGTCGTACGTTTCACCGTCTCGGCTGTCCACCCAATACTAGTCACGGCACCGCCAGTTGCATCACGCATGACCACGTCGTTGTCCTTGTCACTGATTGTTTCACCGTCGACGTAAAGTCCCCTGGCATTCTTGCTGGGCGGTGAGATGGACAGAGCGGGTGAGAGTGATGATGCCACCGAGTCTGCCCGCAAATGGCGTCGGATTGTTGGAGGTGTAGACGGAGCCGCATCAATCCCTTGAGCGAACGGTGGAGGCGTCGTCATCGTCGCATCCTCTTCGATCTTGGGAACAGGTTGCTTCTTCTGAGCACTGGCGGCTTTCTCGGCAAGAGTTTTGTTCTTGCTGCCCGGGGGTCTACCAGGCCGTCCGCGGGGTGTCTTCGTGGGCGTCTTGGGGGTGGCAGAAGCAGACAAAGCTGCCGGAGTCTTTGATGCCCTTGGCGATTGAAGAGGCGTCTTGACCTTGGCACTACTCTTCTTGGAAGCAGAGGCGGGTTGCTCCGTTTCACGATGGCTGGCGTCCGAAGCCACAGAGGGCTGTGGGGGAGCGAATGTGTGCATGGAAACCGTTGCCGGTGCGGGCGGCGTGACCACAAGTTCGCTGTCCTCGTCCGTAAGCTTCACTCTCTTTCTTGCATGCGCAGTATCGTCCGTCGTGCTGTCAATAATGTTGCCCGAGACGTCGGTCGTGAACTGCGGAAGGTCCATGGTGATGAGGTCGGCGTAGGGAGCCGGAATGGGTTTGTGAGCGGCAATGTTGATGTCGGTCCCTGGCGGGACAAAGTGTTTACAGCCTTTGTTATCCTTCTTTCCTTCTTTCTTCTTCTCGTGGACCATACGAGCAAAGGTGTTGATGGCTTCACGATCGGCAGTCTGCTGAAAAACGTCCTCCACCATGGTCAAAAAGGTCTGGTTTCCCGCCTGCTCGTCGTAGAGGGTCCGCAGAGCCCAGGCAGTAGGATAGCGGAAGTGACGCACCGCTTCTTCAACAGCAAGGTCAACAACCTTATCAGTGACTTCCCTGTTGACTTCCGTAGCGTTGCTGTCAGAGCGTGGTCGCTGTAGCCCGTATGGTGTATTGAGTGGCAAGAAACTAGAGTCGAATCCAGAAGGCTTGCCGCCGTATCCATCGTTGTCCTCGTCCTGTGAGTCAAACGAGTCGCCAACCGAGTCGCCATCCGAGTCACGTACATCGCCTTCCGTGTCTGCTTCTTGACCGTTCTCGGGACGGATCGGAGCAGCTGTGGTTACAGGGGTTAATACTGGGGGAGCCTCTGCTTCGATTTGCGCCTCGGCTTCGGCGGCGACGATACGTTCTGCTTCTGCCTCGGCCGCCTCCTTCTGCTTCAGCGCACGTTGCTCGGCGGCCAGCGATCGTCTGGACTTTGGCCGGCCGACGGGCCGCTTCGCCGATTTTGGTTTCTCGAGCGCTGGTTTCTCAGATTGGACTTCGGCGCTCTCATTGGAATGGACTTGGTCACCTGCGTCAACATCCGCCGTCAGCACAGCATCAGGGCCTCCAGCAGTCTCTTGGTCGCTTTGGTCAGCGTCGTCGGCCGCCTCGTCCGTGGCTTCCTGGCTTTTCCGCCGCTGTTTCTCTTGCTGCCTTGCCGATGCACGCGCCTGGCGTTTTGAGTTTCCGGGAGCAGGACGAAATATGATGCTCCGCCGTGTGCTCGGTGTCGTTGGCGTGATGGGTGTGGAGGGCGCGTTTGGTCCAGACTCTTGGTGTGCATCCTCTCTGTCGGCAACGTCGCTCGTGGCACTTTGAGGGCCTGATCGGGTCGACCGTTTCGGTGCCACGATGATGCGTGTCGGGACGTGCTTTCCAGCGTTTGGCCGCTTCAGGATGATTTTTTTGGAATTCAAAGTGGAGATTGGCTGTCGTTCCTGGGGTTTTGAATCCTCGTCATGCTCCTGGTGCTGCGTCCCGGTCGAATCTTGCTCTTGGGTGTCGGTTTCCACTGTTGGCAGTTCTCTCCGCGCTTCACCGTCGTCGTCGTCATCCGGCCCCTGCTGTCCAGCTCGCCGACCCTGCTGCCCTTGCTGCTCTTTCCGCTTTTGTTGCTGCTTCACGGTTTGGCGGCCCAGGGGCGATCCTTCGTGAAACAGCTTCTCCTCGGGGAGACCGCTGATGCGCTTCGCCACGTTCACAGCCTTTGGCAGTGTGCCTAGAGGTGCCATGCCTTCAAACACACCGTGTCTTTGAAAACCAGCCTCTTCGAAACTGGACTTGCTCTGCACGGGCGGCTCCAGCCAGCGCGCCATCATGGCCCTTTGAGCGTTGGTCACACCATTGTTGCTGCTGCCAGCAGTGGTGCTCGATGTTGGCGTGCTCCCGCTGCCAACCTGGCGGCCAATGCTGCTGCCACTGCCCGCTGCCGCATCCGCCACGCCGCTATGCAGGGGACTGGAGAAGCGCGAGCGTGTCGCCCTCGTGGCCGTGTGCGGCGCTGGCGGCATGGCTAGTTATGAGTGAAGACAAGGAGAGACGCAAGACTCGTGTCGGGCGCCTTTCCCGGACCTCTTTCAGTCCTCCTCAGTCCCAGAATGTCCGCCTCGCTCGCCACCCCCAATTTTCGATCCCAGCCGAACGCAACAGCTTGACAAAATTCGGACGGTCTCGTACGATCTGGCGTTCCTAATTACTGCTTGGGTACCTCTTGGATCTTGAATCAGGCCTCGCGTTGGGTGTAGTGGCACGGGATATGTGTGTTTGATTTTTTGCGTCCGGGCGAAAAGGCTGGAGCAAAGCTTTGGCGGACTGCTCAAACCACGGACGCAGAGACAAGACAATCCAAAACAGTACAGCCGTATATTTCCGTCTCGGAGGTTATCCGTGGCAGCAAAGAGAAAACGAAAATCGGTGGTTGTCGTCGGAGGGAGCAAAAAGAAAGGGAGGCGTGCTGGGAGCTCCTTCCCTCTTTTGCAGCTTGACGCGGCGCTTTGCTCGTCGCTCCTGCTTGTTTCGGCAGCGTCTGCAAAAGAATCAGTAAAGACCGCGTTTTCTCAAACAAGAAGGAAGTAGGAACGAACGCGCAAGCTTTGCATACCAAAGTAAGTCCGTGTGCAGACAACAGCAAGAAGTCGTTGCTTCGATTGCCAGTCGAGGCAGTCGCGTACTCTGCAGCAGTCGTCAGGAAGTTGAGGAGGAAGGTAGAGGAACGACAAGCACGAGAGAAATTGAGCATCCAGGGAGGGGACAGGCCAGCCTAGACGCCTAGACCAGCCTCGACGAGTCCTGGCTCTAGCACTGGTAGCACCAGCTACAGCGAATAACGTGGCGCTCTTACAGGGGACAGAGCGCTGGAAATCGGATCACACTAGTATGTCACTAGTCAGTTATACTGCGTAAGATACGAGTGTTAAGGCTGGCATTACATTACTCCTGTCGCTCTTGCCTCATGCAGCGGCTTATTTGCGTCTCTGGCCGTCGTCGTCTCTCCTTTTCCCCTCGCTCCTTCGCCGGGCTTCCTTCCTTGCCCCCTTCGATCTCGTTGTGCATCGTCGTTCCTTCCATCTTCTATCGCATACTTTCTTGTTTTATCACATTGTCTCTTGGTTTTCAATGTATACGCTCTTTCCTCTGACTAGCACAAATACGGGCGTGGGTGGCCAATATGGGCCCCCTATTCTGCCTGAGACGATGCGTAAAAGTAAATAATGAGGGAAGGCCCGGCCACAGGGTGAAAAAAAGGGGAGCAAGAGAGATTGCAGCCCACATGAAGGGCAGCATGCACGGAAGTGAAGTGCACGTCCAGCACGAAAAGACAGGTAGAGGCATGCTGCCTCCATTCCATTCCACCCGAACAGCCGTACCATGCGACGTGCATCTCGCACATTTTACATTCGCGCTGTTTTGTATGCAATTTGATTTCTTTTTCCACCTATATTCCAGGTCTTTGTTAGGGGGGGCGAGTTCCTTCCGTCTAGGCCGACAGTAATGGGAGAACCTAACCACTTGAACGTCCGGGCTGCAGGCAGCTCCTCGCTGTTTCCTTTTTGTTACCTCTGCTCCTGCTGCCCTTTGTTCTGTTGATTATTTTTACCCCAGGTGGAAGGAGATAGGGGGAAGCCACCAGAGTGTTGGATCCTGGTCGTAATTTGCTCCATCAACCATGAATCCCGCAGTATTTCGTCCACATGAAGTAATCAGGACATCCAGCAAGATGCATATCCTTGCGTTTATCTCGTTTCGATCCGTTTTTCTTACATTTGCTCTTATCGCGAAATGTTTATTTTGGCGGCACCAACCCGCGTTTTCCAAGATATTTTTTATATGCCCATTTTATGTTATCCAATTTCGTATTTCGACTCTTTGCCATTCTCCTTCCACTCCGCCATTCCAAATGTTTCTTTCTTGGTCAATGATGCCCATCGTTGTTATCGACAACTATTTTGCACTTTGCTCCCGTCATTCGGATCGTGTGGCTGTTCTCTGTACTATGTAAGATAGTGTAAGATAGGCGATTACGTCGAACAGCCACGCATTACCTCTTTCACGCGCAACGTTCTTTGTACGTCTTTCTCTTCCCCCATTTCATCTCGTCTTCGCATCCAGGTCTGCTGCCAATCTATGTTAGTTTCAGCTGACCAGACCAAAACAGTCTCGATGATGTATGTAGGGCCGTAAACGTTATCGGTGTCCGCTTTGATTTATTGGACTTCCTCCATCTATTCGAGGACAATATTAGGAGATGCTTCCATCCGGTCCCAGATTCACTCCACTTACCAATGTGTCTGCCGGTCGTATATCGCTCATTCTCTTGTGGTGTTGAAAAGAGACAAAAAGTACCATGTGGGCGCCCATGTCTCATGCATCCCAGCAAGTGGCGGCCCATCGGTCACTTGTCCCTCATTGGTTTCACAAAGGCGTCGCTTGAGATGTGCAAGGAATGATTCACCATGGACATCGCAGTCAACGGCTGTGTCGCCATATGCGACAGCCGTCACAGGTACGTGTTGGAGTGTCGAGTGCCGAGTTTTGATTTTTATAATTTATGTATTTTATATGCCAGCATCATGCCATGACCCCAAACCCAACCTTTTTTATTTTACTTTGCATAGCCTACATCGAAACGCATATGTGCACACACATGCCCCCAGAAATGAGTCATGATCCAACAAGGCAAACGAGGCGGTTAGCCAGACAAGTCTACTCGCTGTCGTCGTCGCTGTCCTCCTCGTCATCGTCCTCTTCCTCGGCCTTGGCGGCGGCGGCCTTCTTGGCGGGCTTCTTCTTCTTCTTCTTGTTCTTGCTCTTGGCGCCGGTGTTTCTCGCCAGGGGCTGCTCGAGGATCTTGAGGATCTCCGCGTCCGTGATCTTCTTGTCCGACTGGTACTTGCTCAGGTCCAGGGCGGGGGCGCTGCCCAGCTTGGTGATGCCATTCTTCGTGATGGCAACGGTCGTCAGCAGTCGGGCCACAGGGGCGCCGTCCTTGTCGCCGACCAGCTCGTACTGGCGGAAGACGTTGCCGCGGACGCATTCGACGACACCCGACTTGGCATCGCGCTCGTCGTCCAGCTGCCGCAGGCTGAAGGGGAAGAGGCCGAACTTCTTCTGGACCTCCGAGTAGATCTTGCGCGACGTCGGGCGCTTCAGGCCGTACGTCTGGATGGTGCGCCGGTGCAGGGTCGACCGCTGCTCCAGCGTCTTCACCTTACCAGCGCCCAGGCTCATGCCGACCTCAACGCCCCACACGTCGCCCACCTCGGGGTTGCCGTCACCCTTGGAGCCCTCGCTGGGGGCCAGGATGATCTTCTTGGCACCCTCAATGTCGTTGTGCTCAAACAGCCACGACGTGGTGTTCTCGACCTGGTTGACCTCGTACGACTTGGCGACCGTCTCCAGCAAGGAGTTGATCTTGCTCTGGGTGAGGGGCTTGGCGGCGGCGGCTTTCGCCTTCTCCTCGTCGGTGCCCGAAGCCAGGATGCCAGGAGGGAGCAGCAGGCGGAGCAGCAGCTCGTTGGCGTAGTATGTCGCCAGAATCAAGTCCGCGGGACGGCCGGTAACGACCTCGTCGCCAGACTGGCCCTCGGCGGGCACGAGAATCGTGTTGCAGACAATGGAGCCAAAGCCATCAATCTGGGCACCAAGCTGGATCTTGACGGGCTCGCCGGCCTGGAGCTCGACAGCGGCCTCGGTCTCGTCCGATCTCAGCGGGGTGTAGGGGGTGACATACGAGCTGGGGGAAACGGTCGTGGGGTGAGAGAAGCCTATTTTGCGAGGCAAATGTTAGCAACGATGTCTCGCCTTCACCCTCTTCCTGTCTCCGTCTCTTCAGACTGACGTACCCTTATTGACCTTCTTTCCTCTGTAGACCTTGGCCAGCTCCTCCTCAATCAGCTTGTCGCCCTTCTCGCAGATGTCGACGATCTTGGCACCAGCAACGCAGAGAGCCGAGACAGCAGCCAGGGCCTTCTCGGAGATCTGGGCAGCCGACTTGTACTTGGTCAGCGTGTCGGGGTTGTTGAGGGTGTAGTCTGTTGTCGTTGAAAAGAAAATAAAAAATTAGCATAAGGATCTCGAGTGGTGTGCACGTGGTCTAAGACGAGCGCGAAAAGAACGACACAGCAATGCAACGGCCGGGTCCAACAATCCAACGTGCGCTCGTCACAATCCGCAAGCCACTCGGCCAGCAAACTGGGCGTTCCGCCGTGCGTCAAGACAGCACGCGACGTCAACCACGTCCCGCAGCAGACGCCCCAAAGCTCGTGTCGTACGCCCAGCGCAAGGCCTTCCCAATCGAGATGGCGAGCGCTTTGGGAGGGCAAAAGAAAATACTAACCGATTTCCTTGTCTTCGGACGCCATTTTTGCAACTTTCGGTCGGTGCCGGAGATGTTGTTCAGGTAGTGTGGAGGTGGGAATATTCAACGGCGAAAAGCTTGCTGGAGCTTTGCGTTGATGTAAAGAGAGGAAAAGGAGGGGAAAACAATTGCAGCAAAAACTATGCGCTGAGAGGGCGGCGATGGAGGGGAACAAAGGCCCATGCTGCGGGCCGCCGTTCGAGGTTTATGGCGGGGGTTATTCCTGTTCTGTGCTCTTTTGGGAAAGCCCTGGTGCGCCGGTGCAGTGTAATGCATCGTAATCGTGCTGCTTTGCAGCTTCCTTGTGCAAGCCTGTATTTTTGGCTTCAGCGGAGGCTAAAAATCTCTGTCTCAAAGCAGTACCAAAAGCTTTGGTCGTCTTTGCTTTTGGGCAGGCGCGAATGGTGCTTGGGTGGATGTTAGGCGGTGACCTCTGAGAACTGCTAATGTACTAACAGAAGCATGTATCCAGCTACCACGCAGCAGCCAAGCATGATCAAATGTACCTAGTACGTGGAATATGCGCTTTTTGAGCCAAACTCCACGTCCCACATAGTACCAGTACATAGACACTTTTGTGACCCGCAAGCACCCGCCCCAGCCCCTTGATTCGTTGCTTCCGACGCCAGGAGAAAGAAACGACCACAGAACCGC